GTAGTGGTGTGATGGTTGTGCTATTTCCATCAGGATAGTCAGGGAAACCTCTCTAATAAATGATGCTGAAGCAGAAACCAAGGGAGGTGTGAGAAAAAGCCCTGCATACATCTGGGGCATGAAGGGGTTCCAGGCAGACAGCAGAAGCAAAGGCTTTGAGGAACAGCAAGGACACCTGTGTGGCTGGAGGGATAGAATAAGGAGAGAGTAACAGGAGATGAGCCAAGAAGGATAGCAGGGGACCAGATCATGCAGGACCATGGGGCCATGGTAGAGACTCACAGTGGGGAGAGACAATAGAGATTGGTTGTTAGTTGGGGCTGGCCCCGTGGCCGAGTGGTTAAGTTCGCGCGCTCTGCTGCAGGCGGCCCAGTGTTTCGTTGGTTAGAATCCTGGGCACGGACATGGCACTGCTCATCAAACCACGCTGAGGCAGCATCCCACATGCCACAACTAGAAGGACCCACAACGAAGAATATACAACTATGTCCCGGGGGGCTTTGGGGAGAAAAGGGAAAAAACAAAATCTTAAAAAAAAAAGAGAGAGAGAGATTGGTTGTTAGAAACACTCCCTCCAGTAGCTCCCCATTTTGTAGAGGAGAAAATCGAATTCCAAGGACAGATATGATTAGTACAACGTTGCATAGCTAGGTAGAAACCCTGGAGAAAGTCAGAATGGAGACAGAAAATACATGATGTATCCATTAGGATGCCTTTGGCTGAATGTAAGAGAAACTCGATGCAAAAAGGCTTCAACAAAAGCAAACAGTTATCTCACGTTACTGGAAGACCAGAGTTGACAGAGCCCTGGACTTAGTTCCATGAGTGGCTCAATAATGTTCCTTCCATCTCTCCATCTGGCATCCTTAGCATATTAGATGGGATGGGCTAGGATATGCTGCGCTAACAGACCCAATTCCAGCGTCTTTATGAGGAAAAAGTATATTTTTACTCATGCGACATGTCCATGGCGGGGCACTATCTTTACTAACTGCAGAGTTCTCCTTCCTGTGGTCACTTACAGGTTGACAAAGCCAGTGCCACACAGCCCACTGCTGACTGCCATGCCAGAAGAAAATGAGGACTCTCGCGTGTCTTGAAGCAGTGATTAGATGCTCTGCTTCAGAAATAACACACATCGTTTTTGCTCCCGATTTGTTGACCAGTGGTACTACGTTACTCTTCCCTCCTACTCACAAATAAGCCAGGAACTGCAATTCTACTCTATGCATGGAAGGCAGAGATATTCAGTGAGCAGCAATAATGACTATCAAACCGAAGATGAACTGAAACTAATGACTGGTGTCTGGCTTACCCTCACCTTCCCCCACCCCAAGGTCATAACATCCACAGAAACAACATTCAAAAAAGTAGAGGGATGACCACTATTTTTAATAGCAAAGAAAATTTCCCCTTGCTTCGTATTGTCCAGAACTGGATCGCATGTCCATTCTTAACCAATCACTAGCAAGGGGAATGGGATTCTTATGGTTGGCTCAGGCCAACTGGGATCAGTCTTCTACAGCCAGGGATTGGGTGGCTTTCTCCTGAGTTTATGGGCTGTCTGAAGTTGATATAGGTGTTGAAAGAGATGATTCTTCTCCGTCACTTTTTAATGAATCAAATCCACAAGAGAAAGACACTTCCACATGGTCAACAGTTCAGGTACTGAAGCTAGAAGGAGAAAGTAGGGAAATGGATGTCAGTAGGCAACCAACCTGGTATAGTACAAAGGGCAAATCGGGAGGACTAGAAGCATCAATAAGTATAGTGTACTGTAGTAAGGGTTGGAATGAATAAACCCTAAGATCCTACCTAACTCTGAGATACCATTGTTTTCTTTGAGTTTGTTGACACCACCATCTATAAGCACAGGGGTTCAGAAAAGATTTGTGGGTGAAATGGACTAAGGAACCAAAGCAATTTACTTTATTCAGATCCACTGATCAAATCTTGGAGTCCATATGAGCAAGACACATTTGTACCCATTGCTAGGAAGCGCCCAGATATATGGAATAGGCAATTCTGAAATAAGGAAGGGGAGGTGAAAGCTCAGGAAGAGGAAAGAAAGAGAGTGACTTAAAAACTGCATGTAGTATGAGGGTAAAGAAAATGTTCTTATGATTGCCAGACAAATATGCCTATGTTGTGATTTTCAAATTTATATAGTCTTATCTGCACTCCTGAGCTTGAAACCCTTGTGCTGAACAGCTCCACTTAGAGCTCTTAAAGGCACTTCAACACGACCATCGCTAACGTGGTCCTGAACCTGCCTGCTCTTTTAACCGGGCTGGTCATCTCCACTACAGGCACCAACTACGAGTAACCCACTTCATCCCTTCGTCACCTCTTTCCTGGATTATCTAAATGGCTTCCATATTGCTCTCCTCCCATCCCATGTTCCTTACTCCAGTTGATTTAGAGATCCAGTGAATGTGTAAATCTGACAGTGTCTTCCCCTTGAGTAAAATCCACCACCAATTCCCCATCAACTGTAGAATAAATTCAAGTTCTTTGGCAGGGGATACAATGCCCTTCTGCCAGCTTTAATTGGAAGACTTCCTCAGAGTTTATGCTCAACTGCTGTATCCCCTGCTCATATAGCCTCACCACTTGGTGTCTTTCTGGTTTTGCTAATAACGTTTCCTCTTCGGAGAGTATCCTTCCCCTCTTGTTTGCTGTATTAACTCTTAATCATTCTTCAAGATTCTGCTCATTACCTCACTGAGAAAGTTGCTCTTGACCCCGACCTTTCCCCTCCAGGGCTAGGCTGGGTGCCTGTTATTTGAGAGCACGCTGTGCCCACCTTTATCATGGGACATATATGGTAATCATTTGTTTATCTGTCCCCCTGATGGTCTACAAGCTCCCCCTCCTTGAGGAAAGGAACTGTCTTATTCAACTTTTATTTCAGCACTTACCACCGTGCCTGGTGGAGGGTAGGCACTAGATAAATATTTGTCGAACAGAATCATTAAGAAAGGGTGGCAGCAGAAGCTGAGGGAACGGGAGGAAGTGCAGAGGACTAGGGAGGAGTTGGTGAGGGATGGATCAGAAAGATAAGAGCAAGAGGGGAGTTGCCAGGGGTCTTGGTGCACCTCCCATCCTAGGATGGAGATCTCCCTCCTGTGCCTTGGAATCTCGGTTCCAGCTCCCGTGTGTCCATTCTGGAGTTCCAAAAAGAGGCGCTCTGCCTTTCCGGCACAGGGGATCCTTGGTTTGGGTCACGCATGAGTGGGACTGAGTGGACAGCCTTGGGGACAATCTTTACCGCCCAGTCCACACTCTCACAACCTGTCCCCTGCCTTCAACTTCAGCTTGCTGGGCACTTACTTGCTCACAAGTCCAGGACAGAAGGCAGAATTTTGGCAGTGGCCACTGCTTTTTGTTTTAATTTCCCGCGCCTGCTCCAACAGACACATGCCAAAGATGATTACCACTCCCCTTGGGTGGCCTCATGCCTTTGAAAGTTAGACCCAGGCCTCCTTTCCACAGACCCAACCAGCAACCATCCAGGGACACATCCCTTCTGCACCCACCTCCCGTCAGCCACAGCACAGGGATTTCAAAGCCGAGTCTTAGAGGCTCAGGCAGCTTTTCTGACTCTGCCCCAGCGCTCTGGAAAAAGTCTCAGAAAGAAGAAATAAGAGGTGCCACCCACCGCTGGGCTGGGGCTGTCTCGCGCCTGTGTGCATGCTGAAGGCAGGGTGGGGAGCAGAGCGCAAAAGGGGAAGAGAGTGTAGGCCCTGCTTGCTGGTAGCCAAATGACGTCCAACATGCCACTTGACCCCTGGTCTCAGTTTAGGAACCTGTAGCAATGGGTTAGACCTCTTCCCTCCACTGTGAGCATCACCACTAGGGAGAAGCAAAGGCTTGCAGAAACTCCAACTCAGGCTTCGGCAGCGCACAGCTCAGGAGTCGGGTAGGGTGGGACCAGCCGCGAGGGCTGGACGGGGCAAAGGCAGCGGAGGTTTGGCCCCGCCGCGGGCTGGCTCCGGAGGGGACACTGCCGCCCTCCTCCTGGCCCCGTCTTTGCCCGCCTGGTTCGCCGTGTTGATTAACGGATGTCCTGGGTTTTGGTGACGCGGAGCTTCAAGTGCCGCGAGGACGGGGAAGCAAAGAGGAGCCCCCCTCCTCCCGGGCACCCAGGCGTGTAGACGTGGGCGGCGGTGAGCGGCTGCCCTCCCATCCCCTCCCCTCCCCTCTGTTCCCCTCCCCTCGCGGCGCTCCCGTGTGTGCGGATGTGTGAGTGCGTGTGTCTCCCTCGCTCCCTCTCGCACTCGCTCCGGCACTAGTGCAGGCGGCGAGCCGGCGGCTCCCGGCTGGCTCGCTCGCTCCGGCCGCTGCGCTCCCGCCTCGCCGCCGCCGCCGCCGCCTCTGCAGTCGCAGCCGGGCATGGTGAGTGAGTGAGTGAGTCCAGCCGCCGCGCGCTCACCCCGCTGCCGCCCGACCCCAGCCGCCGCCGGCTCCGTCCCGGGCAGCCAGCCGGCGGCGGGAGCGCGCGGCGGGGCCGGGCAGCCGGGGGCTCGGGCGGCCCGTGCGCCCTCGGTGGCCGGCGCGCAGGGCCGCCGGGGCCCGTCTCGGGAGCGGGTTCCGCGCCCCTCCCGGCCCGGAGCCCCGCTCCTCGAGGGCTGCGCGCTCCCTCCCCGCCCGGCGCTCCCCTCCCGCCCCCGGGAGTGCCCGTCGCCCCACCCCGTGACCGGCTCCCGTCTTGTCCCGCAGGACCCGCCCGGACGGGACCACGCCGCCGCCGCCGCCGCCCGGAGCCGCGCTTCGGGTCCTGCTTGAGCCGAGCCGCGCGCGGGGCCTCCGCCGCCGGCGGGGGATGGGGCTGCCCGGGAGGCGCGCCGAGCCCGCAGGGGGAGCGCGGAGCCGGCGCGCAGCGTGAGAGCCCGAGCAGCCGGCGCCGGGCCGGTCCGTGCGCACCGCGCGCCGCCGCCGCCGCCGCCCGCGCCTCGATGGCGCCATCGCCCCGGCGCCGCTGACCGCCCCGCGCCCCCAGCCCGGCCCGCGAGGCTGCCCTCGGAGCCCGGCCGGCGAGGGAGCGGCCTGCCACGGAAGCTTCCCCGCGCCCTCCCGCCCGGCCCCGCCATGGCGCTGCGGCGCCTCCTGCTGCTGCTGCTGCTGCTCTCGCTGGAGTCCCTGGACCTGCTGCCCGGCGCCCACGGCGCCCGCGGCCGCGCCGCCAACCGGACCCTGAGCGCCGGCGCCGCTGCCGTCGGGGGCCGGCGGCCCGGGGGCGCCCTGGCCCGGGGCGGCCGCGAGCTGAACGGCACCGCCCGGGCGCCCGGCGTCCCGGAGGCGGGGAGCCGGCGGGGACAGCCCGCGGCGGCGGTGGCAGCGGCCAGCGCGGCCGTCACCTACGAGACGTGCTGGGGCTACTACGACGTGAGCGGCCAGTACGACAAGGAGTTCGAGTGTAACAACAGCGAGAGCGGCTACCTGTACTGCTGCGGCACCTGCTACTACCGCTTCTGCTGCAAGAAGCGCCACGAGAAGCTGGACCAGCGCCAGTGCACCAACTACCAGAGCCCGGTGTGGGTGCAGACGCCCAGTACCAAGGTGGTTTCGCCGGGGCCCGAGAACAAGTACGACCCGGAGAAGGACAAGACCAACTTCACCGTCTACATCACCTGCGGGGTGATCGCCTTCGTCATCGTGGCCGGCGTCTTCGCCAAGGTCTCCTATGACAAGGCCCACCGCCCTCCGCGGGAGATGAACATCCACAGGTGAGAGCGGCCCCCTGGCGCCCGCCCCCGATCTCCCCGTGGCCTCACCCCTCTTAACATGTTTCCTTGTCCTCTTCACTCTTGGCATCACCTCCTCTCTCTCCCGACTCTCTCTTAGTCGGTTTCACCCTCGCTTCTTTTACATGAAATAAATCAGAGCCTTCTTTTTCCTCTTCATTTCTTCCGAACCTGAAAGCATGCTTTGGGGGTAGGGGGATTTACAAGGCAAAGTAAGTTGGATCGGTCGAGTCCCTGAAGTTTGAGAATTTTACCAATTCTGTAATCCTGGATGGGGATTTAGGGTTCAGTTTTCATGGCATGTGGGCACTTCGGTGTAGGCTCTTACTGCATTTGGTTTCTGAGTCAGACCAGAGCTTATCTTCAACATAGGAAATTGACCAATGTTGGAACCTCGCTGGAAAGAGTACCAAGTGATTTAGTGTAAACTGCATGGTGTTAGCGATGAGGGTGATAAAGGAAGGATGCCTCCTGGGGGAAGAAGGAATAAAGATTTATCCGTTCCGTGTTGACCAAGGGCAGATGGTGTCTCTTCATTGCGTCCTGCTGAGTGGGATGCTTATCTTTCCTGCTGAGACTGGAGGACTTGTTCTTTTAAACCTTGTAGGCAGAACTCTTCTGAGTTCACACTTCTTGCTGTGTTAAACCTGGTGGGCATCTTGCATTAGGGAGGCGTGGGGACTGCCTCCTATCAAAACTTGTGCCAGGAGCTCAAATATCGTAGTCCATGCTTCCACCCTGACTGCCGCCCACCCCACCGCCCTAGCTCCTGGGGAGCCCTTTGGGAAGTCAAAGCTGAGAGAACAGGAAACCAGCCTCTCTTTACAACTCTGGGAATGATGCACTCAGAAGATGCAAAGTTAGCTCTGCTTCTGTCCCCTCGTGATGATGAATGGCTGGACCTGGTTCAACAAAGTCCTTTCAGGGAACAAACCCTGCCCCAGAAAATGCCTCCATTTCTGGCACGTGGTGTGGGCACTACCCTGGTAACCGCGACCACCCCCCAGAGCAGTCCCGCTTCTGAGTGCGCCCAGCGGGCCCCTCCCTGAGCCATACGCCTTTCATCCCCACACTCTGCTTGTTATCCTTCTGGCCTGAAAACCTCTTCCCTCGCTGCTGGGGACATAATCACCTGTACCTCGATGAAGAGAGAGAAAGGCAGATAGAAATTTCTGGACATGATGTGTTTTTTCCCCTTGATACTGTGGATGTTGAGAAAAGATCATATTCCCTGGCAGGTTTCATTGAGTCAGATCCTCAAAGTGTGGATACTTTAATACTGACAAACTCAGGTGTTAGAACTGGGTGCTTCCAAAAGGAGACCCGTTTATAATTCTCACTCATCACCCTAAAGTGCCACACACTTCCTTTTACCCCCATCTTATCTCTCAGGTAGTGTGTCTGTGCCTGGACCGGTCCTCGGAACTGATGGAGAAATTGTGACACATGGTCTGTGGTCAATCCCAGCCTTCAAATGCAGAGGGCAGGTGGGATGGAGAGTAAAATAGGGACAGGACACTCCCTCCTTTGGGTCTTGTCTGGCGAAGAAGTCTCTCTCTTGGCTCACTATGGAAAGCAGAGAAGGAATGCCTATGGGCAGGCACCTTCCTGACACACATGTACCTGGTCCATATCGTCTCTCTACCTCTGTCTCCAGGCCCAGAGGGTTGTCTGCCTTCTCCTGTGGTCCTGGCCTCTCATCACCTTCCACTCTGGCCATGGCCTCCTGCTGATTGATTCTCACAAACCTTTCTTTGAGTTTCTCTCTTCCTTGAGCCATTGTTCTCTACACTCTAAGAGGGAGCTGCCCCCTGCCCTAACCTTGCCACCTGCCACTGAGTTTATTCATCATCACCTGGGAGGATATTGATGGTCTTTGGATGCCGGGCATTGGCCTGTGTTCTGTTGGCTTGTGACGTTGGAGATGTCCCTGTCCCTCTTGGTGTTTTCTCCGCTCCCCACCACACAGATCTCCCTAATCCCAAACTGGGGAAACTAGTTTGTGGATGAGTGCGTGGCTCAATGGTGATGCCATTGGTGCAGTTTCTCTCTTGGGTCAGGGAAGAGAGCTAACCGTGGGAAGGGGGATGAATTTCAGCCCTCAGGAAATCATGTAAATATGGGATGTTTCTCCCTCAGATTCACCTCCTGATTTTATTCAGTTCACAGCACCTCTTCCAGCAGCTGCAGTCTTGCCTCCTCAGTGCTTTGGAAGCTATCATATTGGTGCTTGTTAGGTAGGGGACAATGCCTGTCTCTGTGTTTTGTGGGGAGGGGACAGAGCATGAGAGAGCCATCTAGGATGCTCCATGAGTGACCCTGGGCAGGTCGGGAAACTTGGTTTTCAAATCTCGGTTACTCAGGCGCAACAGCATCCCGTCTCCACTTCTTCCTTCCCAGGCGTGTCAGGGTGAGTGTGCACATTGCAGGGAGCTGCTCACCGACTCCTGGGTGTGAGTCTTGCCACGACTCATCTCACTTTGCTCACACCTCAGAGGTCACTGCTTCCTGCTCTGGGGAGTTTTGTGCAGACTGTCTTTTTGGGGAATTGGGGTAGGGAAGAGGAGAGAGTGATGGAGAAGGAGATAAATATTCACACCGTAGTGGGTTTTCCCTAGGGAAAGTGGAGTAGAAGAAAGAATGTTGACCCTTCAGAGGTCAACCGGAAGTGGGATGTGCGTTCTCTTACATATTCCTTGGAATATTCAGCAAAGACATTTCCTTTCTGAAAAGGCGAGGAGCTCATTCCAGTGGGTGATCCTCTCTGAAGATGTAGATGGGCAAGCAGAGGCTGAGTCTGAGGGAGGAGAGCTACCTCATTGAAAGGGATATTTGTGGGAGTGTTAGAAGGGATGAAAAGAAGGATGCCGCCCCAAGATCAGCCCTCTGCCTCCTCCTGGTGTTCCCAGGCTGTGGCCAGCCCTTGCCTGCCCGCCTGCCCGCCATGCGTGCATGCATTCCTGAGGGCAGGGCTCCTTTCCCGTCTCCAGCCCCTCTGGGAAGAACAGATTTGGGCTTTTCCAGAAGTGATTAGACCTTGCTATCCTGTTTCTATGTGAGAAGCCACTGTCTGTAGGGGGAATGATCAGCTCTCGGGTGCTTCTCACAGATGAGTAAAGTCATACTCAGCTAGACACCAGGGAGGAGAAAGAGATGGCCAGACGGACCCAGTGCTCTGTACCTGGAGGCCCTCTGGACATTGGGCCCCCTCCTTTCCCACCCAGAACCCCATTTCTCACCACACTCTCTACCTCACCTTCCCCTTACTCTCCACCTGCCCGGGCTGAGGCTCGAGCGGATGGACCGCAGGCCTGCATGGATTGTAGTGTCTCCTGATCGGTTTCTGCAATCCTTCCCAGGGGCTGTCTGTTCAGGGAGGGGCTGCCATGTTCTCCTCCCAAAGGCAGGGGCTCGGCCCAGGAGACTGGCTGCCTTTGACATTCAGTTCTGTCCCACTTGTCTCATGTTCAGACCTGTTCCTTCCTCCTCACCCTAAGTTGACTCATTAGTGTCTTGGAGATGAAAATCATTCTGCGGGAGGAGCTGTGTGGCTTCTTTTTTAAATGGCTAATTAACAGATGGGTCAGGAAGCTCTTAGGATGCTGTAGACGAGTTGGTGAAGTCAGAGCTGCCCTGGGTCCTCCCACTGCCTGCATAGGGGTGCAGGGGATGGAGGCATGTGGGGCTGGGGGAAGTGCTCAGGGTTGTGGGAAGGAAAACCTGAGCAGATGTTGTTAGGAAAAAGGAAAATTATTGGGAGGTGACCCATACAGCCGGCAAAGGGTCCTTCGTCTTTGGGTTCCTCTGCTTATTTCTAGTGGAATCAAGGGAACGCTTTGTTCCACCTTTTGTCCCTTGAGAAATTAATTACAAACCCTAAGAGCTCTGTTTTGTCCCCACAAACCACAGAACTACGGTAGCAGGACCACTTTACTGGCTGATTTAGTGAGTTCTCATCCTAGGTTCCTGGGCGGTGAATTGTCACGTCACCCCAAGACACTCCATTTTTTGAAGCACTGTGAGCTCACTATAATGAATTGGTCTAAACAGAGAGTTACATCAAATATAGCCGTTGGAAGGACACACAAAAAAATCTTGCCTTGGACTGAAGGTCTTGCATGTTTTCCATTTTCTTTACGTAAAAAAGAAACACATGTCGGGAAAGCGGTGAAATTGTGGAAGAGTTTAAGAAGGCTTATGGAGGAGGAGTTAGACACCAGGAAGACAGAGCAGAGAAGACAGCAAAAGGAGGAAGGTGATTGGGTGAGGAATGGACAGCGGTGCCCAGAGCCCGTGGTCGGTTTCTTCCTGATGCCAGTGGCAACGTGCGGTGCATTCATTCAGTGGATGAGCCCTGCTCACCTGCTGTGGGCAAGATGTGTTTCCAACTATAAAACCTTAGCCTATCAAGTGTATGTTACCTTTGACACGTGGGGCTAGCAGAGCTCATTCTTGATTTAGCAGGGGATCCATGCAAATGCTTTTAAAAAATGTGCACTTTGACAGTTCTCCCTTGTATGTTGTCACTTTCTTCCTGTCCTCTCCTCTGCCCTGAGCCCAGAAGGCATGCACCCCTGCCCCTCTGTCCCCTCATCCAGCCCTGCCCCAGGGTCAGAGCACATTCATTTGGAGGAATCTGCTGCTAAGATACCAAGAGTTTACCCACAGTTCTAGGCTGCCAAGACACAGGTAGAGAAAAAGTCCAATTAATTGTTTTCAAGGTATTTTAATGAGAGATCAGATTGACTGTGCAGTCGATTCAAATCAATTGTGCAGGAAGCAGTGGTTAAGACAGCTGAAAAAGTGAGCTGATTGAAAGAGGTTAATTCACTAGCCCCAGACAGACGTGCCCACAGATCTGGAATAGAAGGGAACTACACCAAAAGAAGCTTCATCCTTCGTGTTCCACTGCCTGATTTCCCCAGGGCTCGGCACGATTGCCTTTAGATCTTAACTTTCTGGCTCTTTTTTGTAGTCAGTGA